TAACTCTCGCACCTGGACTAGCCCATTTCTAATAATCTGCTGTAGCCCACGAGGTGGCTTACCAGGGAGACTCTAGCCTACGTCCATCCTGGGTCGGAACTTCATCACGTGTCCGGGAGAGGGGAGCATTGTGTCTCTGCTCCAGAGAGCAGAGCTGTGAGTCTGAGCTCACTTCCTCTTCCTCCCAGCATTTTGTTCTGTTTACTCCTCCCACCTATGTTTTAACCTATGAGGGCCAAGCAGTTTCTTTATTTCTTAACCAATGAAATCAACAGATTGACAAATGACTCTCCCACATCAAATAAACACAGTTACAGCCGGTACCTCCACCATGTGTCTGGAATTGGTGTAGGAGGTCCTTTTGTAACTGTGCTGTTTTCATTGGTTGAATAAAGAAACTGCCTTGGCCTTTTGATAGGGCCAAGCACTTAGATAGGTGGGGAAGACAGAACAGAATGCTGGGACAAAGGGCATTGTGAAAGACTCCATAAATCTCCAGCCTGAGATGGATGGACGTAGGTTAGAATCTTGCTGGTAAACCACAGTCACGTGGTGATACACATTAATAGAAATGGGTTCATCAAGATGTCAGAGTTAACCAATAAGAGGCTAGAGCTAATGGGCCAGGCATTAATTTAATTAATATAATTTCTGTGTGGTTATTTCAGGGGTTAAGCTAGCAGGGCAGCGGGATGTAGCGCGTTCCTCCATACTACAGAGTGGCACTCCAACATGGTCTACTAACTCAATGTAAAACCTAAGAGGGCTTAAAAAGAAGAGTTTAACACAACCTTTTGCTGTTTGCTAAAGGGCTTCCCCAGAGAGATTTTCCTGACTCCGCAATAAAAAAAATACTTGTGCCATTTTAAAACAAGGCTTCCTGGGCCCTGTTGCCAGTACAAACTCCGGCTATGGAGTATTTGTGGGCTCGGATGTTTGTGTGCCCACTTGGGGTTGGGAGTAAAGTAGCTGAGACCATGCCCATAGCTCAACACTGCCTTCCTGGGTAGGCAGCAGGATCAGGTCTACTAGAAAGTGATGGTTTTGAAATACCACTTTCTGGGCTGGGCCACCAGCGCGACCTCTGTCTCTTGCAGGAGACAGAGCATTTGAATGGGGTTTTGTGAGTAAATTACTATGGCTTTCTTGATGGCAATGTGGATTGCTGTGTACCTCGAACTGTGCATGGCTCAGGGGCTCCAAATGGCTCTGAGGCAGGAGCAACTCCTCCATGCTGAACTGTACTGATCTCAGGCAGGAACTATCATAATTATCATAATAACAGTGCAGTTAAAGTTTAGACTGGGCAGAAAACAGGCAGTATCATATTACCCTTACATGGCACAACTTAAGTTTTTAAGGAGTGGTTAGCATTTTAAGAAGTGCTTCTGGATGGTACAGAATTACAGACAATGCAATAAGGACAGATTCGGACATAAAAGACCTCTAAATGGATCATAGTGTTAGATAAAGCACATAGGCTTGGGAGAGAAAAGATAAAGAGTATACAGAGTCATAATATAAATTTGATGCTTAAAAAGGGGTAAAGTCTTTAAAGAGACAGAGTACAGATAGTCATAGATTAAAAGAAGTAAAGAAAAATAAGCCACATTAAAATGGAAAATTCACAGAGAGTCTGGATTTGTATATTATTGTGTTTTCTTTGAATTTTTTGACTGTAAAGGACCTAAGTACAGAGAGATGTTTCATTGTGTGGTCTGCTAAGCTAAACCAGCATGGATATTATAAAGGTATTATGACTTCAAAATTTGAGTCTAAGGATATGATGCTTTGGAAAAGAGGTTCTTCTCTTGTTTTCACAGAAGATGAGACCCCATGGATTACTTCTAGACCAATATGGTATGATAGACCACGCCCTCCTGAAAGGTAGCTCTGAACACCCTCAAAAAATTACTTTACTCAACTGCTGACTGAGAGGAACTAGCAAACAGAATACACCATAAAAGACCTGATTAACAGTGCCCCCTTATAGCATGAAGCAGTTTGGAGAGAAAAAAACTATGCCCATATTCCCAAATATTGTTTATAAATGTTCTTTTACATTTAAAGGGGCATATGATATAGATATAAATAATTTGCATTGGTATGGATTTTTGTTTTATTAATATAAATTTCAGGTCAATTTTGTTACATGTATATGTATTTCTGATCTTGATTAAGGTATTGTGATTGTAGTTCATTTGAAAATGTAATGTTTAATTAGGAAATAGAGGTTGTTAATGGATAATCATCAATAATAATCAACCTTGTAGTCGTGTTAGATTTTCTAGATATATAGAGATATATTTTAGTTAGATAGGCATTCTTCATATCTTTCAAAGACTACAGAATATAGCATTTAAAATGTTTTAATAACTTAGGGCTTTTCATGACAATGAGATACGTCTGCTCCTGGCAGCACCAATTTACTTCAAGAGGAAAATGAGCAACGAAGAGGCTCTTTATGAAGCTGATTAGCCATTTGGGCAAGAAACTGCTCTTGCTTTGACTGTTGCATAAACTGGACATAAAGAACCTGCAGAGAGAGGACTGCTGAACTTGACTAAAGGTGAGATGTTCCTTTGGGGTTCCTAATTCATGAAAGAGTCTGTGAGACATTCTTCAGGATACAGAAGAAAGTGACTGAACTGTCTTCGAAATTTCCTGCTTCGTGGAAATGTCTGCTGGATAATATGGGCCCGAAGGCCAAAGATGGATGCCCCAACAGTATAAAAGAACTTTGGGTGAGTGTCCAGGCAGCGAGATTGTCTCTGTCATTTCTAGTTTTGGAATTTGCTTTACTTCTCATTTATTTAGGTAATATTATATCCTTCTGGAGTCTTTGATAGAGTGGATGAATAGAGAGTTATGGTTTTTCATTGGTATGATTAAAGATAAAATATATCTAAATATTGTAACTGTATTCTTGCTTGATAACTGTTTTGCTATATGTAGTTTTACTATGTTAAAGTTAAAGCCTTCTTTTTGTTTAAACAGAAAAGGGGAAATGGTGTAGAAGGTCCTTCTGTATTTGTGTTGCTTTCATTGGTTGAATAAAAAAAACTGCTTTGGCCTTTTGATAGGCTCAAGCACTTAGATAGGCAGGGGAAGACAGAACAGAATGCTGGGACAAAGGGCATTGTGAAAGACACCATAAATCTCTAGCCTGAGACAGACGGACGTAGGTTAGAATCTTGCTGGTAAGCCACAGTCACATGGTAATACACATTAATAGAAGTGCGTTAGTCAAGATGTCAGAGTTAACCAATAAGAGGCTAGAGCTAATGGGCCAGGCAGTAATTTAATTAATACAATTTCTGTGTGGTTATTTCAGGGATTAAGCTAGCCAGGCAGTGGGATGCAGCCTGCTCCTCCATACTACATGGAATCTCAGAAAGCTAAGGAATGGCCTGGATCTAGTCATCATTGCCACGGCTTTAATCCTACTCATGTTGCTTAGCAAATTAAAGACTCATGTGGTCAGAAAAAGAGAGATATACAGTAAAGAGAGATTCAAAGACAAAGAATACCTCTAAATAATTTACTGTGTGTTTAAAAATATATGCAGGCTTGAAAATAAAACAGAAAGAAAAAAATAAAACAGAAAGAAAGAGAGTAGTTGGGTGTGGTGGCACACCCCTTTAATTCCAACACTTGGGAGACAGAGGCAAACAGACCTCTGTGAGTTCAAGGTGTAGTGGCACATGCCCTTAATCCTAAAACTTGGGAGACAGAGGCAGATGGACCTCTGTGAGTTCAAGTTGTGGTGGCACACTTTTAATCCCAATGCCTGGGAGGCAGAGGCAGACAGATCTCTTGAGTTCAAGGTGTGGTAGAACACCTTTAATCCCAGTACTGGAGGGGCAGAGACAGGTGGATCTCTGTGAGCTCAAGGACAGCCAAGTGAGTTCCAGGACAAAGATACACAGAAACCCTGCCTCAAAAAGCCAAAAAATAAAAATAAAAGAAATAAGAGTTTAAAATAAAGACACATAAAAATGGAAAACACACAGAGATTCTTGATACTTTGAGTTGTTTGAATACTGAGGAAGGAGCAACAGCTGCTAAAAGATATTTGCTTATAAATGCTTCTAAATTAATCCAAGATAGGTATTTTGAAAATATCTTGACTTCAAAATTGAAGTCAAAAGGTATGTTACTTTGGAGAAGAGATTTTGCTTTAGTTTCCACAGGAAATGAGAGACTGTGGATTCATTCATTCTGAGTTAAGAAAAACCAGGTTTGGTCAAGGAAGACCACCTGAGAAATCTCCGGTAGGCAGAGATGGCCCAAATGTCAAAGTTCTGCATCCAGAACAGGTTCAAGACTGCTGTCTGAGATGATCAAACCTCATAGGATTCTCCAGTCAGGACTTGATCATAATTCAAAATATTCTTTAGGTTCCCATATGATTGTAAGCACCCCCAATGAGCAGGAAGTAGCCTGGAATACTACATCCACATTCCCCAAAAATTGACTATGGATATTTTCCTTTGATTAAAAAAAAAAGAGGGGGAAGTGGTGTGGGAGAATTGTCTATACTCTGTCGATTATGTATTAAATAAATGCTGATTGGCCAGTAGCCAGGCAGAAAGTATAGGCGGGACAACCAGACAGGAAGTAGAGGCAGGTCAATGAGAACAGGAGAATTCTGGGAAGGAGGAAGCTCATTCCCTCCCAGTCCTGTCCAGATACTGAAGAAGCAGGATGTAATCTGCCCCGCTGAAAAAGGTACTGAGCCACGTGGCTAACACAGATAAAAATAATGGGTTAGTATAAGTTATAAGAGTTAATAAGAAGCCTGAGCTAATAGGCCAATCGGTTTATAATTAATGCAGACTCCTGTGTAATTTCTTTGGGACTTACTGGTTGTGGCAACTGGGCAGGACAGAAACCCCAACAAGTAGGCCCTCACGTTACACTGGTCTATAGAGTGAGCTCCAGGACAGTGAGGGCTACACTGAGGCCAACATATTATATATCAGGAGGTTTTTACTTACCTTGCCTTCTGTAATTTTATCAGGCTAAAATGAGTATCTGAGGAAGTAAAAGAAGGATGAAAGCACCAAACAGCATGATGAAGTCTGAAAATGGAGGAAAAAAAGAAAAGTCACCTCAGTGTGATAGAGAGGACTTACCGCGAGAATATCAGGAAAAACCACAGCACCAGGTCATCTTTCAAGGTTCAAGATTACAATTTTGACTTTACGGTAGAGTTGTGATCAAACTTAAGAACCTATACAAGTTAGCCAAGTACTCTAATCACTGATGATACTCCTAGCACTAGTTAAATTTTTTTTAAAAAAAATTAGAATTATTTAGTTTAACTTTTGTTTATGAGAGTTTTGCCATCAGAGCCCCTGCAACAGGGTATGTGGATGGTCGTGGGTCACCAGATGGTGCTCAGACTCTAGCCCAGATCTCTACAACAGCAGCAAGTGCTCTGAATGACCAAGTCATCTCTCCCGTCCCTAGGAAAACTATTTTTAAAGATTGGTATGCCTAAATATTAAGCACATGGAAACAAAGCACAAATACAACTACTTTTCTGCTTATCCAATATTTCTTCTGCCACAGAAACTGTCAAATCCTCTACTTCCTACTCACAGACCTATAAGTAGTGAGATCAGGAGGGATGGAGAGATGGCTCAGCAGTTAAAAGCACTGGCTGCTCTTCCACAGGACCTGGGTTCAATTCCCAACACCCACATGGTAGCTCATGGCTGTCGGTAACTCCAATTGCAGGGGACATGACACCTTCACACAGAAAGTAATAATATACGTAAACTAAAAATAATTATAAAAAGTAGTGAGATCAGAACAGGTAACACCCAGTTTCTGAGACTTCAGAATGTTCAGGAAGTTCTGGGTATTTCACCTCTACCCTCCTGGTGCTTCCCACAATACACATCCAAAAAGAAACAAGGTAGATTGCAGTTTGGATTAAGGAAATTTTGAACATCAACCTCTACCACCTGCAAGTTATGAGGAAGTTGCACAAAAATGCAAGAATAGCTCCTGAATCATTTCCGCTCCACCTCAACTGCCACTGACCCACACCCTGACTATCCCGCAAACACCCAGACACCACCTTAAATCCTTACGTGGCTGTGATGTAGAAGACATTAGGATACTATGTCGGTTCACATATATGTTATGAGAGCTCCCCAGAAAATATTAGCCAACACAAAATGTATAACTGAAATTTTCAATGTGCATGAGTGTTGGGAACCTGGAATATTTATGTGACTCGAAGTGAAGGAAAAATATGAATCAGAAGCCATGGTGGCAGTGAGAAGAACCTCCTGATGCTTCTTTTGGGAAACCACAGGCCAAGAAATTTGAAAAGCAATCACAACCCACTCTGGAAACCAAATGCTTCAGTCCAAAAACAAGAAGGCAGGTCGTGTGTATACAAAACATCAGGAGTCTTTACATTGACAGAGAACCTTCAATGGGGCCTCCTATCTCAGGGTCAGTGGGCCCACCCACCTCTGCACACCAGAAAGGTCATTTTCAGTTCACAGAGACAGAGTTGTTCAAAGAGTCACAAACATTAACAGAACTCAATCTTCTCATCAGAGTGAGACAGCACCTGGGACAAAAAAAAAATTTTAGACAGCGCACGCCTTGCCCCTGCCTACCTAAAACTAACCACAGCATGTGAACTGGAGACCTAAGATGAACACAAACCTTCACTCCACTAGATCTCCAGACCCAACCATTTACAGAGGAGGAGGGACTGGTACGGTGGCAAAGGAAATTGGAAGCTAATCTGACACGGAAGCAGGCATCACTTTCCTTCTGGATAACCTAAAGCAAGGATGGTAAACAACCCAGAAAATAAGCTGCATAAGATAGTGTTCTCATCCAAGGGGGAAACAGAACTCCTTTGTCCTCGAAACTACTACTGGACAAGGCTGCAGGAAAGAGATGCCTCATTCCTCCTGCTCTTTTGCACTGCCTGGCCAGGGACCTTGGGGACACAGCCTGTGGCTACCCCGACAGCCTCTCTGCTTTACATCTCTGGCTGCAATGTCACTGTTCCCCTTCGACCTTCTGCAGTGCCTATGCTGAGAAGCAGCTAAGCTTCGTGTGCAACTCCACACCAGTGCAGAGGAGCCCAGAGAAACCCACTGAAAGGGGTGTCCCTGGAACCCCCCACTGAACACCAAGCCCTGTGTGAGATGGTTTCTCTCCCTCCCCCACATTTGTTCCTATCCAGGTGATAACGCCCCTCGGACAAGCAGAGGAGTGAGACTGCCCACAAAGCACAGTGGCAGGAAAGAGTGGAAGAGGGAAGGGGGAAATGGAAGTAAGAATGAGAGATGACATCTGGAAGGGCCTGCAGGGTCCCCCACTAAATCCCTGAAGCCCTGCAAGAGCCCAGTCATTTAAACACTGACCCTCTTGGTGACTTCACAGAGGAATGAGACCCAAGAAGCCCAGATCCCACTGTCTGCTCCAGCCCAGTCAGCCAGCTCAGTGGGTCTCAAACATCAGTGTTTGAGGAGCCTTAGCTTCAGCTGGTGCAAGGCAACACCCACAGATCTCAATCTTTACAAACGTGAGGCCAATTCTTAGAGAAGTCCTTCCTATCATTAGTAGGACTATCTCTCTCTCTCTCTCTCTCTCTCTCTCTCTCTCTCTCTCTCTCTCTCTCACACACACACACACACACACACATACACACACACACACTTACACACTTGTTGAACCAATATTGCACCCCACCTGTCCCATCTTAAAACAAAGCAATTAAATGTAGAACTGCCAAACCATGTACAACTATTGAGAAACAGCCTGACTTCAGGCTCTGACTAGAGCACACCAACTGTGAGGCCTCGGCCAATGATTGCTTAGTCCCCTACTCTGCACGCTGAGGCTCACCAAATGTCCTTTTGCCACTGGGAGGACCACATGAGATCATGGAGTGTAGCACAGTGTCCTGTAGGCATGTGCTGTGCACACATCTGTTGACTGTTTGATGCAGTAATGTGAATCTATGAAGCTCATTGCACAGGAGGGCAAATGAACCAAGTGATGAGGGCAAGGAACCTTTGCAGATCTCAGCATCATCCTTCTAGGGGACTTCCCATTGTCCTCGTAGCCACACCCCACCTGGATCTGACTCATGGACACTGTGGTCTCAACAGAGCTATCACATTTAAACTGGACTTTATGATTTATAAAGAACATTAAAATTTTTATAGTGTGTATTTTCATCTTCTCCTCTTCCTTGTTATTGTTTTCCTAGAACACCTGGTTTGTTTGTGTTTTTTTTTTTTCAACCCTCCTCTCATCCTCAACCTGCTTCTCGCTGGTAATTTATGTTGTATGTTGGGCTAAGAATATCTGGTCATATTCCTAAAACAAATTACTCTAAATCACTAAAGAAATGGTTGGGAGAGGCACACAGCCACGTGCCTTATGACTGGGGACAAGCCTGCAATTCCCATAGAACCACAGACCCTCTGCGCTCACCCTCTTCTCCCTCAGCCTCCTAGAGCATCAGTGTCTCCTGGCTGCCTGGGAGCACTTTGGCTAGAGAGCCCATAGGTTCCCCATCCAATATAAGCCAAACTCAGTTCACATCTCAGTCCCAGCCATCTGAACCCTTGTCCTTATCTGATCCACCCCTGAACGCAAAGCCACCTTTAGCCCTTTCCCTGTGACTCTCTCTTCTTTTTTTCTTAGTCACAAAGACCTGTCAATTCCCAAATGGCCCTCAACATCCCCTCTGCTTCATGGCTTCTGATCCTCCTGGATGAGAGCTGTCTCTCAGATGGACTGTCTGTAGAACACAGATCCCAGAAATGTCCTGAGAAACAGATCAAGAGGTCACTTCCAACTTAAAGCCCCTGATGACTCCCCAATCATAAGAGTCAAAACGCCTACAAAGCATCAGAATTGGGAGTCAGGATTTTCATAATTTGGCAGAATAAGACCTGTCCAAAAGCATCACTCCATCCTCCTACACGGCAGCCCATTGGCAGCACACTGACTGACGCTGGAGCCTCGGGCTCAGGATAGACACATCTCACTGAAGAAGAGCAAACATCACTGACAGTCATGCAGTCACGCTCTGAGTCCAGAGTTCTTCTTCAGTTTCAAAGAAGTCACAGCTAAGGCCTGGAGAGGGAAATCTACTCAAATCAAGGTCAGAACTGGGTAGACCAGGTCCTGAACCCCAGCTCTTGTTTCATCTGCCAACAGCCTGAATGACTCTCCTCTGCACAATGGTCAGGGATCCCCACAGCTTTCCCTCTGACTGGACACTTCACCCCACCCCACACCTGCAGAGAGAGCTGGCCAAGAGGAGCAAACAGGAAAAAGTGAGCTTTGGCACTGCTTCAGGGCCAGACACAAGGGCTTTTGACACTGAAAAAAAAAATAGCCCATTGTCTCTGTGGGTGGGACCAAACCATAGCAGAAGCTAGAAAACCAGTTTCTTTGTGCCCAGAGAGGGGAGAAAAGGCTGGGTCCTTTAAGAATAGAGCAACCACAACAAGCTCTACTCACCTGCCCCACCCCTACCCACTACCCTGATTTTGCTGGATTTGGCTTTATTTTCCCTCACATAGTGCCCCACATGGACTGGGAAAGGTGTGGCCTCCTGGAGGACAGAGGAGTCAATGGAGCATCAAGGAACTGGATGGCTCCATTAGCAGGCTTTTAGAGAGAGCTGTTTTATCACTGCCCCACTTGCCAGGGAAAGACAACAACAACAACAAGCCCTGAGCTGCAAACCTCAGCAAACTGGGGGGAGCCTGTCTGGAGACTGGGTGCCTGCCCACCTCAGCAATGCAGGAGACACTCTAGGGGGAGCACAAAAGGCTGAGCCCAAACAAGGATTTCAGAACTTCCTCCCATGCCAGCAAGTCCAAAGCCACTGGACAATGATTCCAGGTTGCTATAGCACGTCAGTTCATCCGACAAAAATCTACAGACCACTTTTTCAATGACATTCATGTGATGAACCATTCAGACCAGCAAGATCTACTTAAGTAAGGACAAAGACCTCCCCTCCTCCACTGCCACAGTCTTCCTCTGGCTCTTTGAACTCATTTCTATCATCAAACGATGACTTTCAGAGACCCAGGAGATGTTCCTGGGGTGCACTGAACACATCTCTACTTACAACATGATGGAAACCAAATATAAATCAGAAGAGGAAACAATTATTCCCATATGCTAAACCCTGAAACACAAAGACTACAGGCATTCATTCCCCAGTTCTTACAGTTTCAAGTGAGTCTCTAGGGCAAAATCAAGGCTTCAAGAATTTTAAGAAAACTTTGCAGGTTGAGGGGTGAATCTGACTCTGCCTGCTACAGCTCCTGGAGCTTTCTGCATACCTTGGCCCATAGCTGCTTCAATTTTCAGTCAGGGACAGGTGGAAGACAATTTCTTATGCTTTCTCGTCTGTCCCTGACTTCAGAGACCCTCTTAACTTAATTTATACCACTGATATATCCAGGGAGATTTCTGTCCCAAGATATGGACTTCATTGCATTTGAAATGTCCTACTCACCAGACAGATAGTGTTCCCAGGTCCCAATGGCTTGTGTATATTAAGCAGCCATGATTGTACCTTTTGTACCTTACACAAATAACCTGTCTTTCTATCTTCTTTTTTTTTTTTTTTTTTTTTTTGCTTTTCTTGTTGTTTCAAGATAGGGTTTCATTGTGTATCCCCGGCTGTCCTGGAACTCACTTTAGACCAGGTAGATCACAGAGATCTGCCTGCCTCTATCTC